GAGGCTCCCCGGGGCAAAGCCAGCTTTTGGGAGAGACAGAAACGCGCCGTGTCTCGCTCACAGTGGTTGTTTTGACGAATGTATTCATCTGTCAAAACTCATGAAAATGTACACTTATAACCTTGATTTAAAAAAAATAATCTTGACCACGCAAGATTTTCTCCTACATTAGAATTTCAGAAGCCAAGACGTAGATCTTCGTTGCGTAGTATTTGAAGGTCAGAAATAGTGAGGGGAGGTGGGGTTGGTTGGTGGGTTTTTTGGAAGAGAACTATTGCAATGACCTTTACAGTTAAAACCCACCTTATCTTCTACTGGCGCCCCACTTGCAGAGGGGCTTCCTCGGACGTGCCACCATTTAGGTACATGGCGCCGGATGCCACAGCCCCGGCACAGCCGCCAATGAAGGCTGGAGGCAGCCGTTGCCCCTCAGGGAGGGGGCACCCGGGGCATTTTGGGGAGCGGGAGGACCTCTCGTCAATGAGCTGCCCACTCGGGGGGCTTGACGCCCGACCCCCGGGAACCTGACGTAGGGAGGTGCGAGCACAGATGAACACTCAGGTTCCGCCTCTGTCTCCTGGACGGCAGGAAATAAATACACTTTCAGCTAAATGAGAACTGAAGTGCGTGGGAGGAGTGTTATAAATTATACGCAGACCACCACATAAAATTCAATTTTCGGGTAATGCGAAGGTGTAACGTGCGTGGAGCGGCTGCTTTGCATATCACAGCGGCAGCAGGTAATGAGCAGGGAGGCAGGACGCGCGACCGGTCCGTCCCCGGCGAGGCTGGGATTGTCTCCTGCCTTTACCTCCTCTAATCGCACCAGTGCAGTGTTGATTCAGGACACGGCGGCCCATGAAAAATGTCACCGTTCTGTCGATGGTGCGGATCTGCTGGCAATTCCAGCAGGCAGCGGCTGCACATAAAGGGTGATAAGGCACTCTATCCCGCCACGCTCAGCGGGTTTCCCATTTCCTCCTGCAATTACACATCAAACTGTTTTAGCTTCACAAGCTCCGGCACTATAAATGGCCTCGAGGCAGAAGGCCGCCTGGCACGCTGATGAGCCGGGCTTCAAAGCCGAGTGCAGACTCAGGTTTGGTGGGGGAGGCTGCTAAAAAAACATATCACCCCCACCCCCGCCGCCGCACGCACACACTCACTCTGCAGAGCCCTGAAGACATGCCCTAGAAATCATTCTCTCATTATCACTGCCTCATCCAATTAACAGAGGGTTTAGGGAAACATTATTAGCTGTCTTTGCAAGAGAGATGGCACCAAAGGCATCGCCGCAGGGCTCTGTGCCCCTGTCTCTCCCGTGTGGTCCACAGACAAGTGGGGTGGCGTGCCCTGAGAGCTCACTGGAAATTCAGAGTCTCCTAAGCCATTGGAAATTTACAGGCTCCAAATCTACGGGTGGGCCCAGGAATCTGTTTTAAAGGGCATCTCCAGGTGTGCCTGGGCTCCAGACCCAGATGCTAGACGGGCACGGAAGGAGGGTATTTATGTAGCACTTTTTGAAAGTGCCATCCACCCATCCATCCATCCATTCATCTACCTGTCTATCCATCTATCCACCAATCCATTCATCCATCCATCCACCACCCACCAATCCATCCATCCACCAATCCATCTACCCATTCATCTACCTACTCACCTACCTATCTGTACACCAATCCATCCATCCATCCAACCACCCACCAATCCATCTTTCCATTCATCCATCCACCACCCACCAATCCATCCATCCACCAATCCATCAACCCATTCATCTACCTACTCATCTACATATCTATACACCAATCCATCCACCCATCCAACCACCCACCAATCCATCCACCAATTCATCTATCCATTCATCTACCTACTTGCCCACCCATCTATCCAACAATACATCCATCCATCCACCCATCCATCCATCCATTCAACAAATATTGGGCACTGGTTTGCAGCCTGGCACTGGAGACAGGATGACAAAGCTCACAGGGTGTTGTGCTCTCTGGAGTACCTGGCACACAGTTTGCTGTAAATAAACTGGCACTCCTCTCCCTAGGACAGGTGAGACAGCCGGCTGGCCAGGGCATTGTGGGCTCTGGTGGCTGCTGGGCTTGGAATGCTGCCTCAGACTCTGTCATTGGGCAACTTAAACAGGTTCCCTGAGTCTCAAATCTGTGGGATCTGTGAGAGGGATATAATGACGGTGCCCAGCTCAAGAGTGTTTGTAAAGATTAGATGAGTTAATTCTTAGGGAGCACTTGGAACAGTACCTGGAAAAAGTGAGCACAACCATCACTATTTTACTGTCATCTTCGGCAACAACGAACCTACAGCCTAGAAGGTATAAACGAGTTTGACATAATAAGATAACTTCTGCAGACGGGGCAGAAGAAGACACGTATGTTGAGAATGTGCAAGAAATAGATCTCAGTCTTTGCACAATTGTCCCTGGAACATACTGAGATATCTATCTATCATCTACCTATTCAGCCAAAATTTATATTAAATTATACATATGGTAAAACGCATGCATGATAAGTACATGGCTTGATGGATTTTCAAAGTGAACACACACCAAGATGAGAGTGTCCCGGGGGCCACAGAAGCCCCTATGCCCCATCCCAGTCCAAAGGTGTCACAGCCCTGCCTGCTGTCACCATGTTGTCCGTGGGAGGGATCCTCGCTGTAGGGGACAGCAGTTTGTTCTTTCTGAAAGCAGCACAGCATGCATGGTATGAATATCCCACAGTTTATTTCCGCAGTCCTTTTTCTACTGTTGCTGGATGTTTGGATGGCTTCTCAGGGTATGACAGATGCTGCTGCCACGAATATTCCTTTATTTGTCTTCTGGTGCACATACACGTGCGTCTCTGCTAGGGACACGTCCAAGAGTGGAATTCCGGGGGCAGAGGACGTGCACACATTCAGCTGTAGAAGCAACGGTTTTCCCAAAGGCTGGGCCAGTCTACACTCCCACTGGCAATGTCAGGATTCCAGCAGCTGGGCATCTCCACCAACGCTCGGTAGGGTCTGACGCGCCCCTGTGGGTGGACTTTGAATCCCCCCACGCTCTCATGTTAGGGATTGTGGCGGAGCCAGACGGCGTTTCCACTTGGCCCGGCTTGTCCGCCTTCCGCGGCTGCTTCCTGGTTGGAGTCTCCGTCTGTCACTCAGGACGCAGCCAAGGGATCCACACGGGCTCGAGGGAGGTGCCGCGAGATGCTTACTCGCTTCTCTGGATTTGGGCCCCTCTGGCTGCTGTGGTTGTTTGCTGACGCCTTCGAAGTCTTTCTCTTTCTCCCTCCCTCTCTTCCTATCCGAGACAGCCTTTGGCTTTTGGTGACTTTGTCTACCAGCCACCGCACACATTGTGACTGGGTCCCAGTAGCCTGCAGCGGGGCACGGTGGGGAGGGGCACGGCTATTATAGAGACGCACAGTGACGGGACAGGCACGGCTTGTCGTGAATGGGGGGTCTGGAGCTGGCCCTCCAGGCAGAAGGCGGAGCTACAGCTCCCGAGGCTCCAAGCGGACGCCCCAGCTCGGGAAGCCTGGAGGAGCAGCCTGGCACCGTGGAGAGCAGTATGTGAGGGGTGGGCAGCGGAGGGACGAGAGAAGCAGCCACATGGTCCAAAAGGAGAATAAAAAACAAAAACCCCCTAGGCTGGGAAACAGTGTTGATGAATACAGGATGGCGGGTAAACCCAGAACCAGAGAAGACAAACTTCTGATTTCATGTCATAGTCCCTAAAATCCCTGCAGGAAAACTGCTAATGCCTCTGGCCTTTGGGTGTGTTTGTGCCGGAGAAAGACACACCCCCATCCCGGCCCAGGAAGAGTCGCAGCCAGGGAAGTGGCACAAAGCAGAGAGCCCCTGGCAGCCCAGGGCCAGGCCCTCCCGCTGCGGGGCGCAGAGGTGCTCGTGCACACCCGGTGTGCAGAGCTGAGGGAAGGGTTCGGCAGACGCCGACAAATCCGTCTCGGTGTTGGAAATGCAGCAGGAAGCTATGCAGCGGGCTTCAAGGTTGTTTTTAATTGCTTGTTCCAAAGATGCCAGTCTGTGAAGCACTTATTTTCTCGATTCTTCTCCTCCCTAATTAGACTTGCAGTTGCTGCGGTACATACACATTCGCCTTGTCATGCATGAGTAGCATTAGCCCAGGACTATCAGCTAGTTTTACATAAAAGGCCACAGGCAAGATTTTTATCTAGAAGAACGTCTTTACTTTGAAATCCTCAGCTCCTGAACCCATCTCTGCACACACACTGTATTTCCGAGACAATCCGGAACAGACTTGGAGGAATGACTGTGCTTCTGCCTCAGCTCTCCGCAGGAAACCGTCTGGCCAAAGCCCTTCCGCCACCTTCGCCGGTGTCAACGGCTCGGGTCACCTTTGATAAGGAAGCAGCACTGTGATCTGGAAGAGTTGGGGACGGCCAAGCCTGCACTGCGCAATCACACTCTCGCCGAGGATTTCCCTGACAGCCGTAATTGGGATCGAAGTGAGTTACTCACACAGGACGTGGAAGGCAGGTGACGGGGAGGGAGGTCGCACACAGGCGGACCAGTCCTCTGCGGTCGCCGAAGCCAGACGCCGAGAGTCTGCGGTCTTCCCCGCTGGACTCCGAACCCCTGCCGCCCTGCCACCCCGCCACCAGCATGATGCCGGGGCGTTCGCTGTGCTTGCGCCTGTGGCTGGTCTGAGTCAGGGACCACAGCGCTAGGCGCTCTATGTGCCTACAACGTCCCATATGAAGCCAGAGCAGTTTTCTAAGCAAAACTTCCATCGGCCAGATTAAAGCACCCAGCTGTGTCGAAAATGAGATTATTTCTTTAACTCAGATTTTTTAAAAACACCAAACAACTGGAAACCTCCATTAAATATATTAATATTGCACGTTTTTCAGTCCTCTGCCATTTCTCTTATTGCGTTTTTCATAAAATTAATCTCTCTTCATACGTTTTCTTAATTGCGAAGAGTAAGGAGCCTCCCCACGGTCTTACCCGGGAGGTAAGCGCCGCTGCCCTTTGCTGCGCGTGATCCGCCCTGACGCCTGAAACAAGGGACAGCGGACACCCTTTCAGATTCAGGATGGTCCAAGGACACCAGCGCCACCTGCGATCGACCACCCTGTCCTGGCAGGGCCCTGGCCTGGTCCGTTTCCTGAGGTTTCTGTGCCCACCTGGTTCCCACTGAGCTCACCTTCCAGGTGGGGCTTACCTTGTGCCCCGTCTCCAGATGATCACTTGGCGTCCATACCTGTTCCTCCTCGTGCGCTTGAACTGACACCTGCAGCCCACGCAGGGGTCCAGGCTAGAGACCTGGGCTTTGATCCTTCCCCCCTCGGCCAGGAGCGGGTTCCAGCCCTGCGGTCCGAAAGCCTCCCCACCCTGCCTCAGTCCTGGCCCTCCCGCCTGGGTCCCACACCAAGCATCCTAGTGTGGCTGAGGGTGGCTCCAGGTTCAGGCCACTGCTGCCCTCCTGTCCTGTGCTGGGAGACACCAGGGGCCGGCTCCGAGCTTGTCTCTGTCCGGGACACGGGAGGGAAACAGGCGGGAAATGCCCACAGCACGGGGACAGCTGGGCCATGTCAGGACTTGGCCTGGCCGCACCACAGGAACGGGAGTCGGGACCCGTGTGTGGGAGGCGGCTTGAAGCTGGCACCCAGGGCGCCGTGAGCGGAGTTGGCCAGACCAAAAGTGCAGAGTACAGAAGGAAGAGTGGGTGGCAGGGGCATCCCTGGCCTGGGAGGGACCTGTACAGAGACCCAGGGGGACTCCAGGGCGAGGATGAGAGATGTGTCGCAGGGCAGGGTCTGAAGGGCGTGTGTGTGAATGCGGATACACGTGTATGAGCCTGCACGTGCACACGTATGTGCGCAGGGTGCAATGCATGAGGCCCAAGGCTCAGGACGTGGCAGAGGCCAGGCCAGCAAGGGCGTCAGGAGCCACTGGAGGGGCCTGGCCTGCGTCACAACAGGGCCATCTATTATGACGGCTCAGACGCCGGGACGGGCAGGACATACGTATCAGGACGCGGGAAAACACTATTAATGATGCAGAAATCAAAGGGTGAAAGTGTGTAGATCTCAAAATAGAAAAAGTAATGACAAATGGACCTGCCAAGTGAAAGAAGGGACGCAATACAGTCGTGAGCAGAGGAAATCCCATGCCACCGCTCCTACAAGTGCAATTTCTCAAATCGGCATTCGAAATCAATGCTCAGCTCATCCGAGTGCATTTGCAATATTAAACCTCACCAGACTCAAAGAGAGCGCGACGGTGTCTCTGCCACATCAGGTCTCTGTTTTGGACCCTGTGGTGGCTTTGTGAGGTGCTGATTCAGCTAAGCTGGAAGGAACCCTCTGCCCATGCAGGTCTGGGTCGGGCCAGGTAGCAGGCAGGGGCCCTGGGCAGGACCGAGAAAGGGACCTGAGGCAGCAGCCCTCGCACCTGCTGGGTGGACGCACGCCCAGGTGCACGGCAGCGGCCCAGGCCGCTCACCCGCGGGCTCACCTGCACCACCCACAGCTCCTCCTCCGGCCATGCTGGCACGTCACCCTGAGTGTGACAGGGCAAGTGCCGGGTCCGTCCTGTCTGCAAGGGTCCGGGGGTCCTCTCCCCCCACTGTGCACCCAGCTTCGTCCCAGCTGCCCGCCCTGCCCTCCATGCATCCCCTTTCCACGCCCCCTCGGTCCTCCCGTTGGCGACTCTCCTCCGACCTTCCGAGGCTCCTCTCCGGGCCTTCCCTGTGCAGCCACTCCCATGGGGGTCAGGCCCAATCCCTGCAAGAAACCCCTCCTCGCACGCGGCTCTGCTTCCCTGGTGGAGTCCTGAGTGACTCCGCTCACTCCCCAGCGACACGAGGGGAGCCATGCCGGCCGCTCGGGCCGCGGGAAGCGGAATCAAATGCCTGCCGTGCGGACGCACGGAACACCCAGGGAGCACTGAGCTCCGCAGCTGGGGGGCTGCCGAGAGCGGGACTCACAGGAGCCTCCCGGGGCAGAGGTGATCAGCTGCTGCCTTTCCTTCTAACTCGGAATTCAGAGCCACGTCGGGACGTTCTCCTGCACAGGTGGTCTCTGAATTCTGCTCACGCACCCCGTCAAGAGACGGCAGTCTGTGGCATGCATCGCTATTATAAAGATATTCGTGTATTTACAGATATATTTACTGCCATTGCTTGATATCTTAAGGCACAGCAGACACTTGGGGGAGGTCTGTCTTCAACGACAATGCAACATAATACTAGGTTTACGTTTTCTGGTAACTTTACACGTTTGGGCTGACTTTTCTCGGACGTGATTACACCATCGTGTTTAAACCTCTAACTACAGGTTTCCTGTGGCTTTCAGGGTGAGGGAAACCAGTCTGTGCTTCCCCTGCAGGGTTATTTTAAGCCGCCTGTCTATTCTGTAAGGGTGAGCTTAGTTAAAACTGGATACTAACCCACAAACCCACACAGCCTGGTGTCCTTGCGAGGCGTCGCCAGGAGTCAACGCAGAACAAACACCGGAGGCGGCTGCTCTGCCCGCGCCCTCCCCCAACACACCCGGCCCCCGACCCGGGCGGGGCACGCAGAAGCCCCCGTCAACCTGTATCTTAAACATCAGGAACGTTCCATTTCTTCTAATTTTTTTTTTGATGTCTAACATCTTCAGAGCACACACACCCATCATCTGCGTGCAGCTCGGTGGATTCTCGCAACCGCACTCGAGTGTGCGCAACCTGCACCCCAAACGCCACCCTTGAGTCCTCTCAGTCGTGAAACACCCTGCATCCTGGACAACCACCACCCCAACCCTCAGTGTAGACGGGGCCGACCTTGCCCGTGTTTCACATCAGGGAAGCCTCTGGAACGCTCCCCCTGCATCTGGCTTCTTTTGGTCATAGTGTGTCGTGGGCTTCACCCCGCTCTCCCCACCGGGGCTTCCACGCTGTCTAGGGTTATGACACCTCTTCCTATTAGCGAATAAAATAGACCCCCCAGTCATTTCCCTGGTAATTTTCTGAAATCGAAGTGTAACGTGCACTGAGCAAAGCACAGGCTCTCCGTGAGGGATGAGCTGCACACTTACCCCATGCAGCCGCCAACCAGCGCGGCAGAGAAGACAGCGCCCCCCAGGGGCCTCCCTCGTGTCCCCTCCTACAAGGGCCCCCCTGCCTGGCAGGAGCTTGGCCCGCTGAGCTCCCCAGGAAGGGGGTCGGGCCACATCACTGCCTGTAGCAGCCACCATGCTCTGCCACTGCTCTTGCTGTCACCCCACCATGTGGATACGCCACACTCCGTCCACCTGGTCCCCCGTGGGCAGGCATCGGGTCGCCTCAACTTGGGACTGTCAGGAGGCGTGCCGCTGTGGCGTGCATCTCTGCTGGGTGCACCTAAGAGTGCAGCTGCTGGACCCCTGGAAACGCGTATGCTCCGCTCCACGCTGGGGCCCACGGGACGGAGAACACATCTTTGCTTCCTGCAGCCTCTCATTCCACAGGCTTTGGTGGCAGACGGTCCCTCCCACGGCTCTGTCAGCCGTCCCCAGCTTCAGACCCACTGGTGACAACCGTCCCCACCCTGCAGGTCTCCCCATGCAGGAGGAGATACGTGCAGAGGGAGGCTTGCTCTCGGGGACAGGGGACTCCTGCGGCCCCTGCGTCCTGTCAGACAGTGGCTGAAGGCCACTGCTGGTTACGGGGTGAGCGCTGCTGGTTATGGGGGGAAGGCTGCTGGTTACGGGGTGAGAGCTGCTGGTTATGGGGGGAAGGCTGCTGGTTATAGGGTGAGAGCTGCTGGTTATGGGGGGAAGGCTGCTGGTTACAGGGTGAGTGCTGCTAGTTATAGGGTGAGGGCTGCTGGTTACGGGGGGAAGGCTGCTGGTTACGGGGTGAGGGCTGCTGGTTATGGGGTGAGGGCTGCTGGTTGGTTACAGGGTGAGGGCTGCTGGTTACGGGGTGAGGGCTGCTGGTTGGTTACAGGGTGAGAGCTGCTGGTTACGGGGGGAAGGCTGCTGGTTACAGGGTGAGAGCTGCTGGTTATGGGGGGAAGGCTGCTGGTTACGGGGTGAGAGCTGACGGGGTGAGAGCTGCTGGTTATGGGGTGAGGGCTGCTGGTTACGGGGTGAGAGCTGCTGGTTATGGGGTGAGAGCTGGTTACGGGGTGAGGGCTGCTGGTTATGGGGTGAGGGCTGCTGGTTACGGAGTGAGAACTGCTGGTTACGGGGTGAGGGCTGCTGGTTATGGGGGGAAGGCTGCTGGTTACGGGGTGAGAGCTGCTGGTTACAGGGTGAGAGCTGCTGGTTATGGGGCGAGGGCTGCTGGTTATGGGGTGAGGGCTGCTGGTTGGTTACAGGGTGAGGAACACAGGAGGGGTACCCCTCCCTGCCACACGGCGTCCGCCTCCAGCCAGCAAAACAAAAGCTACAAGTGGAGAGAAAGCGACATTCCGAGAGGGA